TTTTTTTTTTTTCATTTCTGTTTTGTGTAGGGGAAATGAATTGGATCATTCAATCACCAATCCTCGTGGGATTGACCTCGCATTTACATATGCTATACTACCGAACGGCTCGTGCACTTGCGAGTATCACAAGTTGAGGATGCAGCTGAATCCATTTTGGTGCAGCTGAATCGAAGCAACATGCACGCCCTTAGTTCATCACGACTTTTGCCGTTCAGCGCATTTGTGGCTTTAGCACGTCCCCGTCACGGCTTCGGTAAGGTTTGGTTTTGAAGGAGGAAAGTTGCGAAATACCTCTTACTTTTAGCAAGGGGGAGCGCGAGCATCTCTGTACCTTCAGCATGACCCTTGCCGTTCGGCAAGGGTGATTTTGTGAAATTTTGGAGTGTCGGCAAGCAATTGGAGCTAGGCTCCTAGGTCTTCAGCAAGGATTTGTCCGGGCCTCTTGGATTTAGGTGTTTTGGTATTTTAGAAGGAGGGGGCTAGAACTGTTGAGAATAAGGCCTCTTGAATATAATGGATGATTGGTTTGGTGCAAGATCAGGCTTCAGCAAATGTTTCGTTGAGTATCCTTGTAAGCCTTCCTTACCTTATGCATGGGCCTTGCCGTTCGGTAAGGCCTTTTCAAATCCCCCCCCCCCTTCTCCCTTTTTTTTTTGGGATTTGAATTTTGAATTTCAAACTGTGGTGTAGGTATATGAATTTTGGGAGGGAAGGTGAAACGGTGCTAGGGTTTTCGTGAACCGAGGCGTTGGTACCCTTGAGGCTTTATAAATAGAAGCTTGGGATGAAGAAGGCATCACAATTGAGACTTGAGAAAAATTTTGGGAAAAGTGAGGAGGAGAAAAGGAGATTTCTGGTGATTGACTTGGTGGTGGTGCAGTGGTCAGAGTGATTTTTGGCGATCTTTCCGCGGGTTAGATCTCATTTCCCTTGAATCCTCAAATTGAAATGTCCTTTTTGCTATGAACTTGTTGAATGTCATTTGTAGAGCAAAGAGCATGTAGGTGTGCCATCCTTTTTGTGTTTTTGTGTTTCGATCCTTCTTGCATGTGCATTAGTTCCTTTTTCTTGTTTTTGCATATTGTAGATGTCTGAAAGTTCTGGTAGAGAAAGTCATGACCCTCCTGCCTCTGGTGGGGAAGATACCGAAAGTGATGAGCCGAGCCTGTATGTGTGTTATGAAGGTGAGAGTTCCCATTCAGAGCATGTGGTAGAAGGTGTGATAGAAAGTAGGATGGTAGTGTGCGATTGTGAGGGGGGAGCCATCAGTGGATTCTCGGGAGGCTGAGTATAGGGAGATGCAGAGGCATTATAGTGTACTAGAGGCTATGGTTGATCGGGTTTTGGCTTTGCCTCATACACCAGATTTGGGCTCGAGCAATCAGGCTGGGCCATCAGGGTCTATGGAGGTAGCCGTGGCTTCTGTGTCAGAGGGGTTGGAAGTACGGGTTGTGTCCCGTTGCCGAGGAAGAATACACTAACAGAAGAAAAGCTGGCGGAGCTTCGGTCTGAGTGTAGTGTTCCACCTTGGGTGGGGTTGAGGCTACCGATTGCAACGGATGTGGTGAAATATCATCCAGAAGGATGTGTGCTCATTTTTACGGATATGTATAAGCATGGCCTGAGATTACCTTTTCATCCGTGGGTACAGAGATGTTGGCTAAGATGGGGTAAACACCGAGGCAGTACAATCCCAATTTTTGGATTTTACTTCTTGGGGTATATATTGCTTGGTGGTTGGCGGGATTGGGGGAGCCAACGTTTGAGCGGTTCATGTATTTGTATTCAGTGTCTAGGCAGCAGGGAAATTTTGGTTGGGTGCAAGCTAATTGCCGAAAGGCGAAAGATAGGGGTTACTTCATTAGCCATTTGCCTTTTTCTTAGAAATCTTGGAGGAATATGTGGTGTCTGGCCTATGGTGACTGGGAGTGTTCGTTCGGGAAGACCGTTGCAAAACACGTTCCTAGCCATTTCCAGTCTATAGGTCCCTAGTCTCAACCTTCAAGACTGATTGTTGTTTTGTTGTTTTTAACTGCTAGCGTTCTTGTTTCCTTGTTTGTTTTTGCTGACCCAGGTACGAAGATTTGAGTAAAAATATATATTTTGTGTTGCAGGTTCGGTGAAGTGGGGGCCTATTTCAAAGGAGAAGGAGAACGAAGTTGAGAAGGTGAGATTGCTGCTATTGGAGACCGATCGGGAGTATCAAAACCTAGTCACACAGAAGAATCTGCTTGAGTCTGGACTCTTGCAAGGGAGTAAGTGTTTGAGATATCTTTTGTTTTGCTTCAGCTTCCTTTGTTTTGTTGTGTGATTGTGACTAACTCTGCTTTTTGATGTGCAATGGCAGGGGTGATAAAAGGAGCGACGAAGGTGGTCGTGACTATTAACAAAGCCGGGAAGCAGAGGCGGCTGAAGGAGAAAAAGGAGATGGGATCGCGCCCAAAAAGGGGTGAGAAAGAGGGCGGCAGGCAGGCTACTGGGAAGCGCCCCCGAGATGATGATGATGGGCTCATCTCTGAAGCCTTGATGGGGAAGAGAAGAGCTCTGGAGGAGGCCCATCAGGATGTGATGGGAGCGGAGCCAAGGCTTTCGCCCTTTGACTTGCGGGCACCGCCGAAGCTTCCCTTCGGCAGGGAGAAGGTTTTTGCGGAGGGAATGAAGAGGGTTGACTTCGGCGGGTTGTGTCGTCAGAAGAAGGAAGTCAGCTTGGCCATGCATCAGCATGAGGTGCCTTTGGTCTTCAGAATACTTGACCAACACGAAAAAATAATAATTAGGATTGCTCCTTTTACTTGGGGAAGTGGGCTACTGGAAGTATTCTTGGTTTTAGAAAGAATCTCTCAAGCGACTCCTTATGTAATTTTCGTTTTGAATACTTGAAATTATTATTATTTTTTAATACTTGAATAATATGTTGATATCATTGTCGCCAACAAAACCTATAAACATGTTATTTATACATTTTTCACCAACACTGATGTGCATATTGACAATTCGGTCTTTAATTAAAGACAATTGTTATCACTAAAGCAAAGTGGAGTTTTGTGTTTTTATACGCCGTGTAAAGAGCATGATATTTTGCATTAGGAAAAAAAAACATATGAATTTATTTATTAGAATACTGCGGTTATAATGAATTTATTTATTAGAATCCTGCTTTTTTTGTTGTTGCTTATTATTGAGTAATTAACAGCATATATTTGATCAACTGGAAATTAATTTTAATGCAGCTGACATCTGATCAACCTAACCGTGACGAAGTAGACTTCGAGTTCCTGGGAAATGTGGCAGGCAAACCATATATCCTTCAAACAAACATTTTCGCTGATGGATTGAGCAACCGTGAAGAGAGGGTCAATCTGTGGTTTGATCCAACAAAGGACTTCCATACCTATTCAATACTATGGAACCTTCACCAAATTGTGTATGCCATCTTTCAAATTAGCTGATCAGTATTTAATCTGAGTCTTGCTTACATAAGTTTTCTTCTTTAAAAAATGGACAACAACAAGAAAACGATTCTAAGTAATTTTAATGGAGAAACTTGGTGTACTTTTGCTTGTAGGTTCAAAATGACTACAAACTGGACTACAATTTACGTTGCAATGAAAGTTGTTTTATTTTCTAAGAGACAAGGGTGTTCAAAGATACTCATCAATCTTATAAGTTATATCTAGCTAGTCTCTATCCCAAACATGGTGTAAACCAACTCATTCGAGACCCCATTGATTCTTGGACGCTTGGAAAGGATCTCTTAACTCTTTCATTATCGAGGCAGAAGGTGCCGATCTCACGAGTTGTAAATTGTTTGTGAACATTAAAGGAGTCGATTCCTTTTGTCGCAAAGTAAATGTTGTTCCTGTCTAACTCCATGAAATCGCTCGCCCGAAGAGAGAAGGAACCGTGCGAGCTCAAAAATAACATTTGGTCCCCCAAACTTTGTTCCTTAAGAAAGTCACCAGTCTCAGGATCAATCTTGTAAACTTTAAAACCAGATGTCCTGAAATATTCATGATCATTGTAGTCAGTGTTGCCCTCCTCGAGCTCGTCATCACTTTCTTCTTGCATGTTGTGTTCTTCCTCATCATCATCTTGATGATTTCCTCCTTCCAGTTCCAGTTCTTCATCATCCTCATCATCCATGCTTGTGCGAATTTCAAAAACATCTCTTATTTGATGGATCACCAAGACTTCACTGTTGGTTGATTCAAACAAGAATGATTCGTATACCCCATTTAAACTGATTTTGTAGTCATTATGATACTCAAAGTCAATTCCATTCTGCTCCTCGTTATCATAGACTAAGATCAATTCCACTTCCACATCTCCAAATTTTATGGTGCGAGGTTGGATGAGCTCACTCTTAATATTACTAATAGCCAAGGAGTATAACTTACCAGTACTAGAAAACAATAATTGGTAATGATGTTCATTTTCATCTAATACCTGGAAGCCACTCCATGTTTTGTCTCCAGGTCTACACATAACCAACACCTTTAAATTATCAAATATTGCTGCCACAATACATTCTGAATCATTAATATCTGAGGTGGATAGCACAATGTGCCGAAAGAAAAAGCCGGTACCACACAGAACCCATTCTGTTTCTACAAACTTTTTGAAAGATGGAATTGTCCACAATGGTGGAAGTTGGCGTAAGGCTCCTGAAACCGGGTTGAACAGAAACATTTTAGAATTCAGTCTTTTTTCTTGGATCATAATTAACCAACCTCTTGAAGAGCCATAAAACCGACTTCCATGAATTGGCTTAGGCAGCTTCAACTTGTGAACTTTGCCGTCGGCAAGGTTGGTAAAGGACAAGTAGTTGCAATTTGGATCCTGAGGAAGAACTAACCAGGGCGCTTCTGGAGCACCGCGGATGTGTCCTCGCATACAAACTGAATTCCAAGACTTGCAGGCAAGACCTGTGCGAATTCGATCCCTTAAACTCAAGCGCTGTACAATCATCTCCATGATATCTTCGTGTACTCTCTGCCACCTGCTGCTGCTGCTGTACTCAAAACTACTGGTTTGGTTTTCGTATTGCTTTCTCTTCTTATCTGAATTTTCTCTGAGTCCAAGTAATAGTTTCTTGAGCGTGAAGCAAGGGAACCAGCTGCTTAAAGAGAGGTAGTCACCCAGGTTTTGATAGGCCAAAAATAGTCTCTCACTCATCTCTCTCTCTGTTTGACTAACAATATTTGAAAAATCAAGCTTTGCAAAAGAGTGACTGTTGAATTTTCAATTCTAGTATGCCGATGCTAGAGCTTTTGTGCTGTCATAGGGTGCATGTGGAACAATACATAGGGGTGAGCTAACCTAATTCATAAGGGAATCCGTGTATCTCAGGGATGGACATTGGTTCCAATCCTAATTCATCAGGGAATCTGTCTCCTAATTCGTAAGTGGGCAGTGGGCCCCACAACATGTACCACCATCAAATTCAAATTCCTCCACCAAATTCTGAATATAAAAAATTTAAAAAATAATCCAGCCCCCGAATTGGCCTGGATGATAACAATCTCAGAATAATTTTTGGGCTTTTTTTACCGCCATCAGGCCATTCCTTCTCCGCACTCTTTTAAATACGGCCTGATGACCTTTATAAATCTACAATGGAATGGAATCATGTAAAATAATTTTTATTTATTTATAAATCATGCGTAGAAAAGGGTACCAATAATTAACATATATAAAGGTAGAAAATAGTAAAATACTTAAAATATCAAAAAATATCCTTAATTAAAAAATATTAAGAAAAAATATTTTATTTATTGAGGGTAATATAGTAAATTAAACATTTTAACCCAAAGTTGAATTTTGTGTTATATGCATTGCCGTGTAAAGCATAATGGAAAAGTCACATTTCCAACATCTACCAAAGAACCCACTTCCTCTCTTTAGTTGGGGGTGGAAGAAGTGGTAGATAAGTTATGCAGTAGATTAATAATTTAATTAGTTCAATTACTAATCATTTGCAGTTGGATTAACGCCACAGTCAGCTTAAAAATCTGGATTTTCCTTTTTTCTTTTTGGCGTTTCTGTAATGCCAAGCCTAAAGGTAATGATTAACAAATGTTCTCCTTGTCAAAGATAATTGGTCCATATGTCTTCATTTTGTAACCTTGGCAGCAAGGTAGAATCACATTAGAGCCATGTTCATAATTAACACCGTAACATTTTTACTTAATTACTTTTATTTAACGAGTCGGGGAGATTCGAATTTGGAATCTCTTCAAAATGTATATACAAAGTTTATAACTATGTTCTATGAGTTCCATTATTAATTCAATATGCGCAGTTGATAACTTGAGGCTTTGCTAGTAGTTAAAAAAATGAGTAAAAAGGAAATCCAACTCATGCACAACCTACAAAAGGAGGGAAAGAATAACCTTAAAGACCACATAAAGTGTAAAAGGGATGCTTGAATAACTAAGTCATCCTAGCTACAAAAGAAAAAAAAAAAAAAAAATTCTTGTCAGTTTCTCTGTTTCTTCAACTTTCTGCTAACATGACAGAAAAATTTATAAGCTCTTAATTAGTAAGCCTAATGAGTATCCTCAGCTCATTAGAAGCCTAATCACCAAGTTATCTAAGCTTCTTGGTCAACTATTTCTGCCAAATGAAAAAAAAAATTATGATGTGTTAACAGTTTAATCACATCCTAATTGGGACCATAAAAAAACCCATAAAAACCATATTTCATAAGATGCTAACAACCAAACATTTCTTTGCTTCCCCCTAAAGATATTCCTGCTTAAACAAAACCTTCCTTCCTTCTATCACACATTTTCTCTCTTCTTTTTTTGGTTGAATGTTCTCTGTTCCAATTTTCCACCGCCCTCCCATGCAATACCTTTATATAGCTCTCTTCAACATGTTGCTATCATATTCCTCCATAACACACTACTAAAAAATAAATAAAAACCAGAGTTAAACCATGAGTGATAATCACAGAATTGTCATCTTTATTGGGCTTTTTCTTACTTTGACATCGATTCGAATTACAGATGGTTCCGTTGTTTCAACAGGGGACTTCAACAAGGATTTCTTTGTGACATGGTCTCCTAGCCATGTAAATACTTCAGCTGATGGCAGGACAAGGAGTATGAAGCTCGACCAAGAATCCGGTATGATCAAAATTCAAAACTTCTTTAATTAGTTTTAACATTTCTGAATTCTGATCCTTTGTTTTTCATTTTCCTAGGTGCTGGTTTTGCTTCAAATCAGATGTTTTTGTTTGGACAAATTGACATGCAAATTAAACTAGTACCAGGTGATTCAGCAGGCACAGTTGTGGCCTATTATGTAAGCAGAAAACGTTTTCTTCTTCTGTTTTTTTCGTTGTTGCTTATTATTGAGTAATTAACAGCATATATTTGATCAACTGGAAATTAATTTTAATGCAGCTGACATCTGATCAACCTAACCGTGATGAATTAGACTTCGAGTTCCTTGGAAATGTGGCAGGCAAACCATATATCCTTCAAACAAACATTTTTGCTGATGGATTGGACAACCGTGAAGAGAGGGTCAATCTGTGGTTTGATCCAACAAAGGACTTCCATACCTATTCAATACTATGGAACCTTCACCAAATTGTGTAAGCCATCTTTCAAAAGAGCTGATCAGTATTTAATCTGAGTCTTGCTTACATAAGTTTCCTTCTTTCAAAAATTAACCAAAAAAAAAAAGATTCGAAGTAATTTTAATGGAGAAACTTGGTGTACTTTTGCTTGTAGGTTCATGGTGGATTGGGTTCCAATCAGAGTATACAGAAACCATGCAGACAAGGGTGTAGCATTTCCAAGGTGGCAGCCAATGAGCATAAAAACCAGCCTATGGAACGGCGACAGCTGGGCGACAAGAGGCGGCAAGGACAAAACTGATTGGTCAAAGGGCCCATTCATAGCTTCATTCAGAAACTACAAGATTGATGCCTGTGTTTGGAAAGGAAATGCAAGGTTTTGCAGGGCAGAGAGCCCTACAAACTGGTGGAACAAGAACAAGTTCAGCACCCTAACAAAAACACAGAGAAGGTTGTTCAAATGGGTTAGAAAGCACCACATGATTTATGACTATTGCCAAGATAAACAGAGGTTCCAAGGCAACCTTCCAAAGGAGTGCTCTCTGCCTAAGTACTGATAAATTAAAGAAAACAAAAAAACCATTTTATTTTATTTTAGTGTTTTTCCTTTTCTCTATTTTATTGTGTAGCAAATTATTATTTCTAGGTTAGAAATCAATAATCATATAGAGGTTGTTCATCAGAGGGGAATTTAAAGATCAATTACTTGAAGCATTCAAGTGAATCATAGACTTGGAAGTAAAGTAACCTTTTTAGTTTTCTGTCTTTGGATTTGTAAATATACCAAAATGTTTCTTCACTTTTTGGGTTTATTGGGAAGATGCTGCTTTCACCTCATTCTCTAATAGAAGTGTGCATGTGGGGAAGGGGAAGGACATTGTTGAGAGAAACCTTGAAAATTTAAAAGAGATATTTAGTCATATACCCATTTTTAGCACTAATAATATAAATAAACCCTATATCGTTTAATTTTTATAAACAAACCCAAAAAATGACAGCTGCCCATATTGAATTTAATTTTGATTATTAAATTATTTTGATGCCCTATTGAGTGTTTTGGGCTTTTTTTTATAAGATTTTGGGGATGGGTTTATTTTAAGAAATCAATTACAGTTTTGTAATTTAAAAGAAGTTAAAAACCTTTTTGTTATGTTGTAAATGAGTTTTGGGTGTGTTTCTAAAGTCCATTTCATATAGGTTTTTTATTTTATTTTATTTATAATTTAGGCTCCTATATTGGATATAATAGTGAATCTCCCTATTTAAAATTTCATGTATATGAAAAGGTAAAAAGGATGCAGGAGCCAATTAAGAGCATCAATGTTCATGAGCGCTCACAACTTTACATGAAAGTTAATCTAACCGCTCTTAACTATTTGAGCCACAAACCACTTGCGATTGAAAGTATTAAGAAATATTAATAAAAGCTAATTAATTTTTTTTTTTTTATTAAGAAAAAGCTAAAATGATAAGGTGACCCAATCCAATAAAAAGCCCATAGTTGTTAGATGCTCTTAAGGCCCTACTGATGGGGATTGATCAGCCCATTACATGATCTGAAATTCATAATGCTCAAATTAGAGACCAATAGATTTCTTAAAATTCAAAACACTCAATAGGACATCAAAGTAATTTAATAACTACAATTAAATTTAATAGGGCTATCTATCATTTTTTGGGTTTGTTTATATAAATTAAATGTTGTAGAGTTTATCTATATCACTAGTGCTAAGAATGGGTATATAACTAAATATCTCTAGTTTTTATTAAGTCTAATATGAATCATAAAATTATATCAAATTCCACATACGCCCATAAAATAAAATTTGTTTCTAAAAATTATACAATATATGAATATGTTGAATATATAATAAACAAGAAACTATGTTTAAAGTGTATCGCCGAGTGGCTATACTTCATAAATTAAAAAATATATTTAAATGTATACACTTTAATAAAAAAAAATATATTTAAAAAGTATAGCCGCCTAGATATACTTCTCAAATAAAATATGTTTAAATAGGATAGCCGCGCGCGGCTATACTGCTCAAATAAATTTTTTATTTAAAGCCGGTCATTAGATGCTCTTTTATGATCAGCCCGTGACATGATCTGAAATTCGTGGGGATTGATCAGCCCGTTATGTAATCTGAAATTCATAACGCTCAAATCAAAGCCCAATAGAAAATAGAAAATAGAATGACAAAAATAATAAATAAAAAAGCTAGAAAACCCTGCTGGATTGAACCTCCTTCTTCGAGAGGCCAAAAACCCTAAACCCTTTGACCCTCTACCGCTAGCGATAGAGAGAGATGGGAAGTACAAGCAAAGACCTTCTGCAATTGGAGCACAAGAAGGCCTTAACTTCACCCATTGGTATCTCTTT